TTCAAAGTTCTGTCTATTGTACAATCAGAATTTTTATGCGTAGAATTTAAATATCAACATCTATCTATCTTAGGAAATGACTAACTCCCAAAATACTTTCTAAACCAATTTTGCATCACACTTACCGATGTCTACTAATTTTTCGAGTACACGTTCAGTTCATAGAGCATCAAAGAAAGAGCTCTGCTTTAGGAAATATTGTGAACAAGTATAATAAACATTACACATCAATGAAATTACTATGTTAAAAATGAGGTATCAGAGAGAAGCAAGCACGAGACGAGAACCACTGAAATGATTCGCGTGTGTATGTGTGTGTTACACCTTCATACAAACATTTGCATTACACTATTGTTACAGTACGGCCTGGGAAAAATGGAGAGAAGGGGTTTCCCCGGCCATTGTGGTCTCGGCGGCCCGCTTGAGTTTACACTTTAGTTGAACATGCGAACAGAGCGTGTCAATGAGCGTCTAGCATGAGCATATTGCATGAAAGCATTGCCGCGACATGCTAATGGCAAGTGCCTTTTTCGGGAAGAAGCTGAAAGCGCTACAAGCGCGACATTTGGTGAAAACTCGTTCAGTGACTTTGACTCAACAACAGCTATTGCGGTTCGTCTTGACGTCTCGGCCGTTCGGATAAGCGCAAAAAATGAAACATGGCTGATGCGTGTGCTTCGCTTCTCACTCTCATTTTCACCCCGGCACAGTAGTTGCCATCCAAACACCCGCCTCGGCTGCTGTCTTCCCATTACCGTATCCACGCGGACGGCGCTGAAGTGGGCGTGGTCGGGCGTCTATATCAACTCTCGGCGCTCACTCCAATTTTTGCCCAAACAAGTTCTGCCAATGATAACCCAATGCGACTCAGTTCATCACTAATTGTTCATTTACTCGATCAATACTATCGAAACGCAACTCGTCTCGCGATTAGTGGATTTACGGTTGTAATGCGTTACCATTTTGCCTTTGCCAATTACGCCTCTTTCACTCGTTAAGTGGTAACCTGCCATCAATCTTTTGCTCTTTCTTTAGAGATTATTTTCTGTATACTTTCAGATTTAGCGGATGTGCTGATAGAGGCGTAATTCACGTCGACAATAAACGTAGGAGCTATGGAAATTCAAGCACATCTGATGCATCACAACCCGTACGATATAGTGAAAGCCGAAGAGCCGTCAACACCGCCAAAGACGAAGACAACACGTGAGTTTCACTTAAAGCGTGGTTCAGCGTTTCCTGAGGTTCGATCGGCGTCATATGGTCAGCCGGAATTGATCCCGCGCGTGTTATGCACAGGAGAACACTAAAAGATGCTCACATATAACTCAAGATATGTAACTTAGGTTGTGCATATTTGAATAGATAGTTTTTCTGAGTTTCCTCTAATTCTGAGAAACCTTTGAGAGTTTGTTCACCACGTAAAAAGGATAGTTTTTCACTGGCATCAGTTGCTCTAACTTCATTTCGCGTCGTTGATTGATGCTCAGAATTTTGCGCGCTATTGTTATGGTCAAGGCAAGCAGGAATCGGTTTGCCTGCTATCAGAACAAAACACGCAGAACATTTGGGCTAAATCCAGGCTCATTTATATATCAACGAATTTCTGCATCATCTTTCAGTGTGCCCGTCGACAGATATGCTCTTCAGTGTATCAAATTTCAACATTCAGTCGAATTTCTGCCCACCTGTCAACAATAACCATGATCCATTGAACAATAATCATACGAAAATCAGTTCAAATGGTAAGAAATAACACAACTTAGTAGTGTGCCTATTGCTGTGTATTCGTGTATCGGCGTAATTTTAGGCAGAACTCTAGCGGCAGATCGTAAACGGCCTTATCCTTGCAATTTGTGCACATCTAGGTTTGGCAGCAAAATGGAACTGGAGGAGCATCAAAATAGTCACACCGGCATGAAACCATTTGAATGCGATGTAAGCCTAACCTCCATTAGTTACTTTGGTCCAATGTTCCGCGCAGAAAAGAATTTAAGCGTATTTGACATATGTGTGGATAAATTTATGAATACAGGTTTTGGTCACGCCTTAAAATTCATTCCAATCATTCCACTTAGAATTCACCAAAAATCTTTTTAAATAAACTTAATATATTAAATAATTTCAATTTCACAATAAACCTAATCCGGAAAATGATCTTTTAAAATACAGTTCAGGTTTTAAATTTGAGAAAGAGAGCTTTACAAACCAATTTGTCACTTCATCTAG